ACCCTCCTACAATCCTATTTTTCATAATATAGCAATGAAATGTGATGGTTTCTAAACAAGTACGGTACAAAAATTCTTTCCGTTCAGTAAGCAGACTCCCTGAAACAGGAGCAGTGGGGTACCATGCCAAGGATAGCAAGCATGGCTGGACACACATAGTGGTGCGCGGGTCCATGGATCTCTAGACTGTTCACCGGTGTCTCTTGTTTTCTCTCTCTCTCTCTCTCTCATCATAAGATGAGTATAATGACGGTATTTTAGAGGTGAGTGTATGTCAGTATGCATAAGTTGTATTGTGTTAAAAAAACAGAAAACAATCTTCTCTTAGTTTAGGTATTTTTTTGCAAATCATATTTAGGTAAGTATTAATAGGTTACGAGGTCTTGGTGGAGCGGATAGGGGCTCGATGCATGCGGGTCTTCCTCCGGTCAGATCTGACGACCTTGGCTACCTTGATTTTTTTTCTTTCATTTTTGCAAACAATTCATCATTTTCATCACATTCACCCTCCACATCATGAAACTCATCACTGGAAGTACTAGGGATGAACAAGGGAGGATTTTGCTTAGGCGTTACCTTAACCTTGCCCGACGAAGCATGTTGCTTCACATCATCCACAACCGCCTTGGCCATTAAGCATTTGTGAGAGTTGCCCTTGTGGTCCTTCATGTTGTTATACTTGTTGACAAGTCTCAGTGTATTTTGGGAATCTTGGGATACGCCGGCAACACCACCAACATCATCAAACAACAACAGGTAGCCGTGTGGCCCTTGGTGGCGCCATGATTCTCCATAAGCTTCCCGATGCAAAACTTTTTTCTGCGAATTTTCCTAAAAAAATCAACTCCATAAAATTGATCTTCCGAAAGTTCAAAAGAAAGTAAAAAACAATAATTGTCACTCGAAATTGGATTCATAGATTAATGTTGTAATACCGAATGGCTTGGAGTGTATCTCTCCATCGTCGGTGAAGAAAACCCCTGTCTTGAACTATCGATATTGAGACATACTTTTTCGTTATACCCGCAAGTTATTTTTATTGTAACCCAGTTACGGTTTGTTGTTATATGGTATTCTCATGGTCCAAGGACATAAGCAAAAGTTAACATTTTATATGAAAATACCAACAACATAGTGACGGTATGATCTCGCGGTAATTCATAACTTGGGTCTATCCAACATTGTTGTTTCGATAACAATGTGTTCTCTCATTATTGTTGGTATCCTCGTTACTTTAACAATGCCCATGATCAAGAAAACATGATCACTATCAATACATGAGCTAGTCCTAGAGGCATGACTAGGGACGAGAATCAATGCAATCATAGCACAAAAATATAAACTTAATTATGAACATAGCATATTTTCAAAACCAGTTTTACTACCTTATGCCCACATAGGTATCTGCGGCCAAGCATGGACAGAGGTATTGCTGCCACCTCCCTCCTCCTTGGCACATCAATCTGTTCTAGCCACCGGTTTTAGAGGATAACATCCTCCACGCCTTCCCGTGGAGCGCCACCACCACCGGCGACATCGCACTCAGTCTTGATGACCTTGTCAGTTAAGATGAAACGGGCGAACATTCTATGCATGCACACATAGCGCAGTGGAGCCGATCTACCACTACAATGCACATCTAGTAACTGTCTGCTTTGATCAATGCACAGTGATCATAGCAATGTGCATTTTTATGATCAATGCATTGATGAAAGAAAGCAATGCGATGATCACATAGCAATCGAAGCAATATGTCTACATATCAGTGAGCAATCATACCAATCAGTCTAGTCATGAACACACACTATGATCCTAGCAATGGACCAATGAACAATCTGCAAATCGGAAGAAGCAACTGCCATTCCATTCCATTCCATTTTGAATGGACTGACTATTGCAAGTTCCATCTGTCCAACCAAACACATCAACATAAACATAACCAATCCATTCCATTTTGTAGTTGAAACAAACTGAAGAACGGAACCGACCGATTCCTATGGAATGGAATCATTACATTACATTACACTTGGTTCTCGAACCAAACACACCCTAACAGGACATCAAAAGAGCAGAGCCGGAAGGCATTCGCTGCCTGTAAAACAAGCATGTGTGTGTGCTGCTCTGCTCCTCCTCTGTTTTTGCTTCTGTCCATTTGCTGGAGCAGCTTTCATGCGCATGTGTGGGCATCCACCGGGAACAAGGTGAGAGAGTGAGGCTCTTGCCAACATATAACCTCTTCCGAAGACGTATTAAACTTACCCTGCAAAAAAAGAAGAAAAAAAGACGTATTAAACTTACAAAGAAAGTGTGTTCCTCGCCTATTGATTTTCATACATGCTAGCCTAGGCATGTTGTTAATATGTCACTTTCAAACACGGGGGAGATTTCTGTCGTGCCGTGCTTAGTGGAATTAATCATCGCTTAGAGTCCTTTGTGATTGCCGGCAGATGGACTAAAGTTTGACTAGTAGCGATTAGGCATTCCAAAAAGAATGGTTAGCAGCCCAATACGTCCGAAAGTCCGTGGAAACCTCATACGAACCGCACTAGATATCACCAGCAAAGCTAGATGAATGAACGTCAGGCAGAAGCAGCTCAATGGCCACCGCATCCATTTCCAGAGTCCTACTTCTTCTATCAGCCTTCTCTTTAGCTGCTCTAGGCACTTCTTCCCCGACTCCAACCAACGGCAACGGCAGCGACACAGACCTTGCCGCGCTGTTGGCTTTCAAAGGCCAGCTTTCCGATCCTCTCGGCATCCTTGTCAGCAACTGGACCACCGGCACGTCTTTCTGCCACTGGATCGGTGTCTCGTGCAGCTCACGGAGGCGGCGCGTCACAGCTCTGCACCTCACCTACATACCCCTCCATGGATCGCTCACTCCTCAGCTTGGTAACCTCTCTTTCCTCTCGGTCCTTAACCTCACCAGCACAAACCTCACCAGTTCAATCCCTGATTCTATAGGGAGATTGCATCGCCTAAAATATCTAAACTTCAGGTTCAATGGCCTCTCGGGTAGGATCCCACCCACTATAGGAAACCTCACCAGGCTTCAGGTTCTTACCCTAGGCTTTAACAGTATCTCTGGTCCGATCCCGGTCGAGCTACAGAACCTACACCATCTCAACTCCCTATATCTGCAGCATAATTCCCTCGCCGGCACCATACCGGTCAATCTGTTCAACAACACAGCAATGTTGACTGTTCTAGACATTGGCAACAACAGCTTGTCCGGAGCAATACCGCCTTGCATCGTGTCCTTAGAAATGCTAGAGTTACTGGACCTGCAAGTAAATCATCTTGCAGGTCCGGTGCCCCCAGCCATCTTCAATATGTCCAAACTGCATTCTTTATGGCTCGGTGACAACTACAACTTAACTGGCTCTTTCCCAACCAACTCAAGTTTTAATCTACCATCGCTAGAAAAAATCATCCTTCAAAACAACGGTTTCACAGGTCAGATCCCACTGGGGCTCATGTCTTGCCAGTACCTTCAAATTATTGCCCTTTCAAGCAATTCATTTGAGGGTCTTGTGTCAACATGGTTGGGCAAGTTGACCAATCTCCGTTACCTTTTATTGGGTGGGAATGAGCTTTTTGGTCCAATCCCAGTTGCTCTCAGCAACCTAACTTCACTGTATGCCCTAGACTTGTCATTCTGCAAGTTGGCAGGATCCATTCCGGCTCAACTTGGACAACTTGGCCAGCTATCCGAATTGCACCTTGCCAGTAGTCATCTATCAGGTGCAATTCCACCTACCCTCGGCAATTTATCTCAACTAACTTACCTTGATTTGCAAATAAATCCACTGTCTGGATCCATACCAGCAACACTTGGCAACATTGCAACTTTGAACATGCTTATTCTAACGGATAACAATTTAGAGGGGAATCTGGGCTTCCTATCAGATCTTTCCCGTTGTAGGGATCTCCAACTCCTTTTCATAGAGGGAAATTCATTCACCGGACCCATCCCTAACCACGTGGGAAACCTCTCTACACAGTTGATCACTTTTCATGCAGGTCGCAACAAGTTAACCGGTGGACTTCCAGCTACTTTCTCAAACTTATCCAACCTTGAATGGTTAGATATTTCAAACAACCTACTCACCGAGGCAATCCCAGAGTCCATTACTACAATGAAAAATTTGGTGCTTCTTAACCTCTCTCGAAACAGTATCTTGGGCCCAATACCAACACAAATTGGCATGCTCGTGGGTCTACAAAAGTTGTTTCTCCAAGGAAACAAATTCATTGGCTCTATACCAACCAGCATCGGCAACCTTAGCATGTTGGAATACATTGACTTGTCCAATAACCAAATAAGTTCAAAGATACCGACAAGCTTATTCCAGCTTGATAAACTCATCCAGCTATTTCTTTTCCAAAATTTCCTTGCTGGTGCATTACCGACCAATGCTGATGGTCTAATACAAATCGATCGAATGGACATTTCTTCCAACTTCTTGACAGGAACCATCCCACAATCATTTTCTCTACTTAGGATGCTAACCTACCTAAATATGTCACACAACTCGTTCAATGGCTCAATCCCGGCCCAGACCAGCTTCAAAGGTTAACCAGCTTAGCAACATTAGACCTCTCCTCCAATAATCTTTCCGGCAGAATTCCCAAGTTCCTTGCCAATTTTACCTACTTGACTACATTAAACCTCTCATTCAATAGGCTAGAAGGACAAATACCAGGGGGAGGTGTTTTCTCAACCCTCACATTGCAATCTTTGATTGGGAATGCTGGACTATGTGGTGTTCCACGCTTGGGATTTTTGTCATGCCTTGCCCAATCCCACTCAAGCAGTAGGCATTTGCTGGAATATCTGCTCCCTGCTGCCATTGTAGCTTTTTGTGGTATTGCTATCTTCGCATACCTATTGATAGGAAGAAAGCTTAAACAGCAAGATGTTGTTAATGCCTCAGCCGATCCGATTGATTCTGTAATACGCCATCAGTTAGTCTCCTACCATGAGTTAGTTCGTATCAATGATATTCAGTGATGATAAGATGTTGGGGTCTGGAAGCTTTGGAAAAGTTTTCAAGGGACAACTGAGCAACGGTTTGATGGTTGCAATAAAAGTCCTAGACATGCAGCTGGAGCAGGCTATCAGAAGCTTCAATACTGAGTGTGGTGTATTGCGCATGGCACGACACCGCAACCTCATAAGGATACTCAACACCTGTTCCAACTTGGACTTCAGAGCACTTGTGTTGCCGTACATGCCTAATGGTAGTTTGGAGATGCTCCTACACTACCCTCAAGGCTCAACATATTTGGGGTTCCTTGAGAGGCTAGGCATCATGCTTGAAGTGGCACTGGCAATGCAGTACCTGCACCATGAACACCATGAGGTGGTCTTGCACTGTGACTTGAAGCCTAGCAACGTGTTGTTCGATGAGCACATGACGACACATGTGGCAGACTTTGGCATCGCAAGGTTGCTACTCTGGGATGACACCTCTGTGATCTCTGCCAGCATGCCTGGGACAATTGGCTACATGGCACCAGGTACTTGTCTAGACCTTGTAATTAAGCCTGCTCGGTCTATTGTTGTTAAGCCCTTTTGGTCAACCAATCATGCCTTAAATTTCCTTTCATGAATTCCTTGAGCAGAGTACGGGTCCCTTGGAAAAGCATCACGGAAGGCTGATGTGTTCAGCTATGGGGTCATGCTCCTTGAAGTCTTCACTAGAAAGAGACCAACCGATGCCTTTTTCAATGGAGATCTAAGCCTTAGGCAATGGGTTTTTGAAGCGTTTCCTGCGGAACTCGTCCATGTTATAGATGTCCATCTACTCCAAGGCGCTTCTGGCTGCAGCTTTGAAGGGTTTCTAGCGCCAGTATTCGAGCTGGGTTTGCGCTGCACCAGCTTCGCACCTGACGACAGGATGACGATGAGCGATGTGGTTGTGATGCTGGAGAAAATAAAAAAGGAATATGCTAAATCAGCACTTGAACAGAGTCATGCATCCGAATGATTCATCACTCTCGCCTATCTGTGTATGGATGCATCTGCCCTGCATAGGTACTGAGAATAGCATCCATTGTGAAACGAATGTTTTCCTATTTTTAATTGTAAAACTGATCAGAGAAAATGAGAGGTACCCTGAATATAATGTGCAGCTTCCTCACGTTTTGTCAATTATCTGAGTTACCCTGCCTCTGTTTCACATGAATGCAACCTGGAGCCTACTCCAATAACTGCGAGGTGTTGTAGCAGTGAGAAGGTCAGTAAAAATGAAGTCCTGGAAAATCAAAATATGTGCAGGAAAAAGAAAACCACGAAAGAACAGAAAAATAATTGGATGGACAAAGAAAAGGGGAAAAAGCTCACTAGAAAATTAAAAGTGAAGTAGAAAAAAAGTTTGTCAACCAAAAGCGACTACTCCACACTCTTGGGGGTGTTCTTCCGCCCCGTCAATAGTAACGACATAGGGGTGTCGCCCGACAGTCATTGCTTACAACTGCTGTCTTAACCGCTGGTGCTGACGAACACCACCGACGATTCCAGTGACCTATCAGTGCATGTTCAATTTAGTTCATTCAGCTATGACATTGGTCATCAGCCATCAGGTGGCGCTTGCCTCCGAACTAATCTATATTCAGTGAATTATAACACTAAAAAAATGGAACATTGGATTTTCAAGGATACTAAATCTCAACACGAATCCTAATCTCAACACAGATCCTAAGTTCATAACATGCATGCATGTAGCTATACATAGCTCTACGTCCGGAATGCCACCGGACGCATGCACGGCTCGCTAAGCTCATGAGCAAGCGCGATCTCGTAGGAGCGAGTTCCAGAAAAAAAGTATGTTTGTTCCAAAAAACTGAGAAGTATATAAATAATTGTTGCTGACCGTCTAGTTCATTTCAGATCATCCACCAACCAATCATTTTGTTTACCTAGATGAGTGTTGTACTGATTGGTTTGCAGAAGCAAATCATGACATTTTCAATTGGCCGATGCCATCTCCGTTGTGCTATTTTATAGTACTTTCAGTATTCTGAATCGTTTGATGTTTTGATGACAGGAAAACAAATGATAGTCAGCTACTACTATATGTTCAAGCACGGAAAGAAATGTGATTTAAAGTGACAATGTAACTGTGAATCATCAGTCTGACGCTGTTATGCCAGTATGTTTGGAACACTAGTTTCATGCCAAATCTACAGGATTCAGGCATGAGATGCCCCAAGAACTAAAGGTGGATGCTATACCAGGTCAACTAAAGAAGTGCCATACAAATCAGTCTCAAGATGTTACCAAATCCAGACTGGTGGACTGCATGTATAACTCCAGTCCATAGCATGATCACTCTGATGGTGTCTGATACAAACAAAGGAATACTTAATTAGCAACAAAACTGTTTACATAGCAAGAACAAACTCTGAAGAAATCATGCTGATGCGGTACAGAAATAAGAGCAAAACTGTAATTATGGAAGTGCCCTTGTCTTGAATCAGGTTATAGATTCATCAAATAGTTCACAGATGTTACTACTACACTGGTGCACTAGTACACATGCAATTTCAATTTACTTTCTGACGGCGTAGGTCATGATGAAGAACATAGCCAATTCACATGTCAGGAATTGTTAGCCAATTTTGATCCCAAAAAGAAAAAGAATTGTGTGGCATCTGGAGCACAACTAGCAACCTGGATCTGAATATAATATGGAAAAAAACAGCATGAATGGATCTCTGGATTATTAATCCTTTAGCCAAGAACAAAGCAGAGTACTTGACTTTACCTTCAGATTGGCAGCTCGAGCCAAGCACGCCTACATTGCTTTCATTCTCCTTTGACTGATAGCTATCTACCTTAGGTTTAATTTTGAATTTCTTGGTAACTTTATATTTCTTTCATACTACTGATGACATGATTGGTGCAGAAGTACAAAACTAAAAAATACCACTAAAAATGTAACAGTTCTTCCAGCCAAACGTTTACAACAGGTGCCAACTGTAAAAGATATTTTACTGCATGAAGAACGGGATTACAGAGTTATCCATCTTCTCTTTTCTCTCAAGTTCGTCCTTCTCAGCAATCTGCTTCAGAGTAGTCCACCCTTTTCTTGCCCGCTTCCTTGAACTGCCAGCTGGCTGAGTAGAATCACCTGGTGCAGACTTTTTATTTGATGCTGACTTGCTATAACTTCCAGGGGTCTTGGCAGCAACTGAACCACAATTCTTCGCTTTATTGTTCAGTGTACTTCTAGTCTTCAATGGTTCTGCTGAACCTATAGGCGCAGTCACTTCCGCCAGTTTGCTCTTCAGAGGAGTAACAAAGTTTGACCCAGCTAGAAATTCTGCTTGAGAAGTGACATCGGGTTCACATGTTGTAGTATTTTTAGAAGCCGCAGATTCAATTCCATTCACACATTTATCATGTGCGCTTTCTACTTCGATTTTCTGCAGGATGTCTTCGTGTGCAGCCGCTAACTGACCATGATCCACCATTGAGAAAACTGCCCCTTTCTCCATTTTATAATCTTCAGGAGTGGATATTTTCAACCTGGATGCTGCTGTTACAGAATGCTCGATCCCCTTTTTAGTAGTTACTGTTGGCGCGTTCATAGTTTCTCCTTTCAACATTGTGCTAACAGGCTTTCTCGATGCTAACAGGCCCTTCACGATACCCTTTCCACTACCCCGTATCAGGTTTTGATCTCCACAGAAATGACATGCATAGACAACACTGTTTTGGCCAGGATTTGACTTCTTGCGCCGCTTTGCTTTCTTTTTGTTGTTCTTTATGCGGATTGTGCAGTTGAAACCTGGCTGTAAGATTGATTCACACCTGCAATATTCGAATAATCTTTCTTCAGAGGTACATTTAAGGCTTATTGATATGGACAAAGGTACAGAAATAGAAAACAAAATGCAGCATAAATAACAAACTGCATTAATCACATATATAATCTATAAATGTACAAGAATACCGCCGACCCTTCAACCTGGCCACTTATAAACATACAGCAGATTGGAGATGTATTGGTGTTAGTGTTGTTAGTTAATAGTATATTCTGAAGGAACTTTTTGCAAACTTGCTAAATGAAAAGAGTCTGAATGTGGTGCTCTGAGCTAAACACATAATTCCAAATATTCTAGCATTACTACAAACTGTAAGGCGTACTAAAAATAAATTGATACATACATACATACATAGCACTATAACAGATCTGAGATCAAAGGTTAAGCAAGACAGACAAGTTTGCGGTAATTTGCTCTAAGACGGAACACTCATACAACATTATCAGCACAGTTTTCTATTTCCAGTTCTTGTATGCTGGTAAGCTCACATTTTGACAATACAAGGATCCAGAGCCATCAGCTAAGGTGCATTCCGGTAAAGAACCAATGTAACATGCAAAATGTTGGTCCTGCAAATTGGACGACCAATAACCTTCCCGTCCTTTCTCTCGCTTTTGTGTAGTTCATTGTTTTAACCACAAGATGTTTCACTTAAATTTTGCATGTTCAATCATTTTTTTGGCCTTACGACCACCCATCTAAACATTATCTCTACCTGACAGATTGCTCTCATTGAATAAAACAAGTTTTTCAAAGCTATAGGAGACAGCATCTCAGCAACAATGGGTGCTGAAAACAGAACAGAAATCACTGCAATAAAGTGGTACCACTTAATCAATGTAAGCCAACAAATATTGTTGCTTAGTGAGTGTCAGGATTTTAGCAGAAAACAAGTAAATGCTTGAACTGATATACTGCATTGAGACACTTTGAGAAAGGTAATTGGAAGTCCAAGCAAACATGGATCCAGCAAGATAATTGTACAGCATATAGTTAACACAATTGTAGACCGATTTCAACATGTCAACTGTATGTGTATATATTGATACTGGGGTCCTTGCACTTAGTTGGCTTCCTCTTAGGATCTTAGGATGGAGGGACCTAGTTCTAAACAGCTCCCGCTGGCAGCAACTTATGGCTCTATCTCTGCCTGCTACCTCTGCCTATGATATGCTGCTACTACGATATGGAAGGAAGAGAGGAAAGCATAAATCAAACAAATAAGTCAGCACGGCAGAGGATTGGAAGGAACGGATGAAAGCACAAATCATGAGTTCAGCAAGGAGCGGAGAGGGCAGATGAGAATATCACTCAGGAGAGCAGCAACGGCCGTTGTTGTGGCCCCCAGTCACTCCGGCATTGGCCTGACAAGGTTAGGCTTTGTAACACCCAGGAGGTGACTCGGTCTGGAGGCTGCGCGGGCAGGGACTAAGATTTTGAGTCGCATGAATCAAGGGGGTCAATTTGCCGAGATTAGTCAGTGACTAGTCAACCAGTTACTTGACTGTGCCAACCAGTACAGTCAATGTGCCCAGTCGACACCTAAGGTAGGACTGGTACACTGTCGCTCAACTCTTAATCATTTGGCGGAAGTTTCCATTAGATATTTCAAATAAGACTTTCCATGTAAAAAGTGAAAACAAAACTGAGATACATCTCATTCACTCAGTCATTCTGTTACAGTTTTGCCTATGTGAACAAAAGAACAAAACTCGGGTAATAAGCCCCTAATACTTCCCCACTTATCCAATCAAATATTATCAGCAATGGCCTAAGAGAGAGAAAATTTACTGTATTGCCCGTTGGAGAGCTCATACAATGTGTTTGTTTCTCGAAGTCTCAGTTTGCCACATCACAAGATGCAGGCATGCTACTTTGATAGAACAAGCATTTGTCCAAAAACAATATAATGGTACATAAGTCGCACACAAATAAACTATAATAGAATTTCAAATGGGTGGATAACAATCAGATTGATACGGTCAAACAATTAGACACATGAATGGAGCATTTTAAAAATACACAGTAAGCTTTAACTCTCACCTCTGGCAAAGGAAGGTGGAGGCTTCAATGGGAATCCCAGACGCCTCGGCGTTCGTGGCGAGGCGGTGGCCCAGCAGCGCCCCGATCGAGCCAACTCCCGCCTCCCCACTCGCCCATGCCCCCAGCCGCTGCAGGTGCTGGACCCTCAGGAGGGAGGGCACGTCGGCCTGCGCCTTCCCGGAGGTCTCCTCGCGGAGCGACATGGCCTGGTTCATGGGCCTGGATGCCGAGGAAGGGCCAGCATTGCCCGGCTTCTTCCCCATGTAGAAAAGTTTCTGGTTATACAGAGGGTCAACTAGTTAGACAAATCTAGGTATCTCCTCCACAATAAGAAATTGCATATTGTAGTAACATTTCCCAACATCTAAGAATCCATAACTGGCCTAACAAAATAAATCCACTCAGAAGGTGCAAATAAGATGAAAAACACTAAATAGAGAATATAAACAGCAGGTTCAGTATAGCAAGCCAGCACCATTGCCACAACAGGTGGCCACCGCGCGCGCCCAGGGATGGTGATATAAGCTGAAAAGGCTCGACAATCAATTTCTCCCTAGTATTATAAATTAGTCATATGCAGCTACCCATAGGAATTTTTCTGAACACCTGGCATGCACATGACAGAGTGACACATAAGAAAAAGAACAGGTAACCGGCAAAGATCTGTGGGTTGAGCCAGGATTGAGGCAAACCCCAGGCCAAAAAAAATGGGCAACATAACTTTTTTCCCAGCAAAATTCTTCTAGTTCTACGACATAAAAAACTGCTGACACAACACTGCATCAGTTTGAGTAACAGAAGCTGATAAGTGGTGATAAACATAATTCATTTCAATTCAGTTTCACCCTTCATATACAATGTTGAAATACAGTGGAGAGAGGAACTCAAACGCATCAATTTGGCACAAAAAATTTACCCAATCCTGGCGCAGCAGCACTGCGGAGCAGTCGGGAACGGCGGCCGCCGGCCGGGGCCCGGGGCTGAGGCAGGAACGGTGACTCTGGTCGCCGGTCAGCGAGGTTAGACACAAGCGCCCCGCGGAGTAGCGCAGGACGGCGGGGCGGGGCGGCGGCGGACGCCGGACGAACTGGAGATATCGAGAGGCAGAGGCGGTGCGAGCGGCTAGGTCGAGCAACAGGGAGAAACAGGCCCTTTTTGCCTGGGCTGTGCTGCACTCAAGTCCGAACTAGGGCCCAATAGAAAATTTATATCGGTAAACAGGCCGAAAAAATCCTGGGCCCAGGCCACAAACGCCACACTCAACCGATCTGAGCGTTGCTATTCTAAAAAAAAACTGAGCGTTGCTAAAAAAAACGTCTGAGCCAGACAAAATAAAAATTATTGTGTTTATCTCAAAATGAATATTGTGGCCAGTGTATTTTATATTTACTATAAGGGGCTTTAAAATGCCAAATATATGAAAATCTTAATGACTAAATAGTTCGGAATTTATATAAAATAGGTTTCAAAAGCTGTTTCGTACAAAAATCAGCAATATTTTGGGTCATTACAAAGAAAATGTTGTATGGGAAAAGAAATCTACGTGCGCCGTGCCGTGGTGGGCGCCCCAACGGTAGGAAACGGACGGGCCCCTGCGGCTGACAGCCCGGGCCCGCGCCCGCAACGGTCACATTGACCAGAAGCGAGGCAACGGTCCGATCCCCTCGGCCGTCCGTGCTCGATCCGACGGCCTAGCGCGGCGCCTCGGGGTTCCCGCCCGCTGTCGAGGCCGTTTCCTCCTTTTCCCCGGGCTTCTTCTTCCTCCCCTCCCCAATAGGTAGTAGAGTGGAGGTGAGGTGAGATCATCAGAAGAGGAGTGAGAGCCAGCCACAGTCAGAGAGTGAGGAGAGGGATAGGATAGTGAGTGAGAGTGACAAGGTCGTCAATGGCGAGGAGGTAAGAACAGTGTGGCGTAGGATAGAAGAGTGAGCCAAATCCCCACCGCATCGCATCACATCCATCCATCCACCCTAGATTTTTCTTGTAGGATTTCTTCTCCCTTCTTCTCTGTCTTTATCTATCTTGATCTTTTCTTCTCTGTTTTTATCTATCTTGATCAACTTGGGGAAGAAAAATTGATGGAGGTCTTCTTTCTCCCTAGATGTTATAGGCCATTCTTTCTTCTTTCCACCTAACGATTCGTTGATTCGTTGATTCTTTCTGCAGAGTCCAAAATCCACAACCACTGAAAATTCTTTCCTGCATATACAGCAGATACACAAACATATTACATTCTTTTTTCAGTTTCTTTTCTTCTCTCGTTTTCCTTCTTTGGACTGACAAATTCTTTCCAAGAACGCCAACTTTCCCCTGTTTTTCGGTCCACATTCATCCATCCATCCATCCATTCATATACCACACCTCACTGAAGCTCGAGCTGTAGCCACACACATATCAGAGAGAGATTCGAGAGTGAGTGTGATCAGCAAAGCAGAGGAGGAGGAGGAGTTACATTGCACTGCTGAATCCGCTGGTGACGCCTGTCTCAGGGATGTTGGCAGGCTGCTCCTCCTTGTCGTCCAGGCATCAGATGAGCACGGCGCAGCGACTACCATGCGGCTTCTCCAAGCGGGGCGGCCGCGGCGACTCGGCAGTCCCCGGCGCCGCCCCCCGCGGCGTGCCGGGCGGCGACGGCCGGGGAGGCAACGGCACCTGCTCCTTCCGCGCGCACCCGGCGCCGCCGATCACCCAGGCCGTGTCCTGGGGCGCCAAGCCGGAGCCCTCCGTCGTCGGCGACGGCGGCGGCCGGGAGATGCGGAGCAGGGCCGTCAAGCGCGCGCACGAGGGTGAGTCGGCGGCGGAGGAGTACGGCGCCCCCGCCGTCCGCGCCAAGCGGACGCGGATGGGCGCCGACGGCGACGAGGTATGGTTCCATCAATCCATTGCAGGGCCGGCGGCCATGATGCAAGTGGCCGCCGGGGAGGGGGGAGGGGAGGAGGAGGTGGCGGAGGAGCAGAAGGTGTTTCTTGTGCCGAGTGCTGCGGCCTTCCCACACGGCATGGCGGCCGCCGCGGGGCCGTCGTCGCTGGCCGCGGCCAAGCAGGAGGAGTTCAGCAAGTCGCCGTCCCACTCATCGTCCTCGTCGGGCACGGACGGCGGCTCCTCGGCCATGCTGCCGGTTGAGCCTGCTGGCGTGAGGAGCTTCGTGGTGCCCGAGGCGGAGCGGGAGGCGCTGGAGCTCGTGGGCGCGCTCACCGCGTGCGCCGAGGCCCTCGCCGGCTGCCAGCACGACGCCGCCAACTACTACCTGGCGCGGCTCGGCGAGACGGCCTCGCCGTCCGGGCCCACGCCGCTGCACCGCGTGGCCGCCTGCTTCGCCGAGGCGCTCGCGCTCCGCGCGGCCAACATGTGGCCGCACGTGTTCGACGTCACCCCGCCGCGCGAGCTCACCGACGCCGCCTTCCACGACGACGACGACGCCCTGGCGCTGCGGGTGCTCAACAGCGTCACCCCGATCCCGAGGTTCCTCCACTTCACCCTCAACGAGCGTCTCCTCCGCGCCTTCGACGGCCACGACCGCGTCCACATCATCGACTTCGACATCAAGCAAGGCCTCCAGTGGCCGAGCCTCCTGCAGAGCCTGTCAACGCGGACGCCGCAGCCGCCGGCTCACGTGCGGATCACCGGCGTCGGCTCGTCGAGGCAGGAGCTGCAGGACACCGGCGCGCGCCTCGCACACGTGGCCGCCGGGCTGGGGCTCGCCTTCGAGTTCCACGCCGTGGTGGACCGGCTCGAGGACGTGCGCCTCTGGATGCTCCACGTCAAGCGCGGCGAGCGCGTCGCCGTGAACTGCATCCTCGCCGCGCACCGCCTGCTCCGCGACGAGACCGGCGGCGCGCTGTCCGACTTCCTCGGCCTCGTGCGCAGCACGGGCGCCGCCGTCCTGCTCCTCGGCGAGCACGAGGCGGCGGGGCTGAACGCCGGGCGATGGGAGGCGCGGTTCGCGCGCGCGCTGCAGCACTACGCCGCGGCGTTCGACGCGGTGGGCGCCGCCGGCCTGCCGCCCGCCAGCGCGGCCAGGGCCAAGGCGGAGGAGATGTTCGCGCGGGAGATCCGCAACGCGGTGGCGTTCGAGGGCTCCGACAGGTCGGAGCGGCACGAGAGCTTCGCCGGGTGGCGGCGGCGCATGGAGGACGGCGGGTTCCGGAGCGCCGGCATCGGCGACCGGGAGGCGATGCAGGGGCGGATGATCGCGAGGATGTTCGCGCCGGGCAAGTACGGCGTGCACCCGCAGGGCGACGGCGAGGGGCTCACGCTCCGGTGGCTCGACACCCCGCTCTACACCGTGACGGCGTGGACGCCGGCCGGCGACGGCGCAGGAGGCAGCGCGACGGTGTCGGCATCCACCACAGCATCACATTCTCTGCAGAGCTGAACAGGAAGTGAAGAAGAAACAAGAAAGAACTGAACTTTTTCAGTGGTTCTTTTGCTAGTGAGACTCATTCATTTTGTTAGTTCATAATACAATCTGACCAAATTCTTTTATACATTCATTCATTCATCACCACCATCAACAAAGATGTAGTAGCTTTTCTCTTTTGGTTTACAGTGATATGATAGGAGGAAAAAAATTCAATTGTTATTAGCTAGCTATGTAGTAATAATTCTTCATTCTTTTGGCTGTCGATCCCTGCAAGAATCAGCTGCTTGTAGAAGAAGAAGCAGCAGGGACATTTCACAGCATTAATACATTCTTTTCAGCCATTATATGGAACTTGTAATCTTTGTTCAGATTCAGAAATGAAATGGAATCATCAATAGACATCAATCCTTCCATGTTGTGTGTTGGATTAGATATTTTTTTTCTTGTCTGAATCTCATGTGGTGTTCGTGTTCCAGAATTCAGAGAGATAAACTGCACAGATTCAGAGAAGCTCACTCTTGTTATACGAAACCATCTCCGTTCAGAGTCGGAAAGGAAATGGAACCAACCGTATGCTGCATATAAATTTGTGTATCATCTGAAATGTTTGTGTTTGTCCATCCCATGGAGACAAAAAAGTAATGAAATCCTGTATGCATAATTGTTTCAGAATTCAGAGAGATAACTGAACAAATTCGTTGACTGCAGTTGATAACTGAACAATTTCAGAGAACTCACTCTCTCTCTTTTTCTTTTTGAGTTGGAATGGTAGAATAAAATTCAGGGAACTCACTCTAGTTCTGGTGAAATGGCAGAGTAAATTATCTAAACTATTATGCCAGTCCCATTTGCATTGTTGTAACTGAGGTGTACAATGGCAGCAATGCATGTTACAACTTGCTTCTGAACTAAGCTTCCAAACAACTTCCCAGCAGTTCTCATTCAAGAGCAGCAAAATGACGAGATGAAAAGCCGCTGCATTGGTCCTGCTGTTACCACGGCTGTGCATAGCAGATGAGCTAATGGGAGTATCAATTGGGGCCAACAGCGTTGCTTAAAATCCCATCTCGTACAAATTTACATATTCACAGTAGTTATTATGGTGCTCATATAATACGTGCTATTTGGATGAAGTGGAGGCCTTTAGTTTGTCTAGGAGATAACAGAGCCTGATTTATGTGAGAAACAACAGAGTGCGGATTCAGTGAGGAACAACTTTGATATTGGGGAGCTTAGTTGACTGAAATTTTGAACTTGCTAATCTTGATTATTCCAATTGTTGTTGCCTTAGTGCTCTGCTCACATAAGTAGGGCCCTGCAATTTCACATATGTCAACTTCCATCATGCCCTTGTGGTATTACGAGTCAAGAGTCACACCATTCTGCAGCATCACACTTACCGTGTGATTTATTCAACTGAAGTTATGGCCCTCACTCACTCTGCCTTGTTATATATATCTAAACCATTTGCAACGCTGATGTGTTAGCTCACTCCTTCTGTTGGGTGTCAGGTGAGAAGTCATGAGGTGCCACATTTTGTGTTGAATTTTTGTGGTGTCTTGCCGACGGAGCTGAGGTTTTAGAAGAAACTGCAAGGAGATGTGGACTAACCTGGACTCCAATGCAGTAGTGCATACTTACAATTTCGGTCGTAAAACACACAAGTCCAAATGAGAGCAGTCATACACCAGTTTTGCTGCTCTCATTTTACTATTGAAAAGTTTGCTACTCAGGCTGCTGGCCGGCATCGGCACCACATGCTCGCTCAATGTACCAGCTCGTGAGAAATCCTGCTTGGAGGCACCGGCGCCAAACTTCTAATCCAGGCTTATCGTCGCACTTGCGTTCGAGCTATCGGATGTATTCCTCCAGTAGAGTGACTGAGATTGCTTGTGCAGGACCAACTCTTCTGATCATTGCTCAATTAAATACAATTTGGCCCTGGTGAAACAATCTGGGTCACATAGTTGTGCACACATATGTGCGTCTTCTTCCGCAAACTGGGCTGCCTTTCCGTATGGTCTTTTGATCTATAGAAGAATAAAGAATTGCGATCAAGTGTCAGCCGTCCTTCCCCTCCAAAAAATAAATAAATCCAGTGTTGGGTCTGAGGAGGCCATTTTCTAGTGTCAATGGTTCAGCAACAAAACTTACGGATGACATATGAAACGCCAATTATTGAAAACATGAAGGCTGGAAAATGTCACATAAGAACGCAAATCTGGTGAGGAAAAGCTTTGATGTGAGGGTGTTTAATTAACTGGATTTTTGAACCTGCTAATCTTGATTATTCCAATTGATGTTGCCTTAGTGCTCTTATAAGTATCATCTGAAATGTGTGTGTTATATTTAGATATTTGTTCTTGTCTATATCCCATTCCCATGGAGATAAATAGCAAATTCTGTGCACAGAATTCAGAGAGATAACCGAACAGATCCAGAGAACCTCACTTTTGTTATATGAAACCTTGTAATCTTTGTTCAGAGTAGGAAATGAAATGGAATCAACAAACTATTTAAATGTTTGTCGTTCGATGGAAACTTTGTTCTTGTCTGCAACCCATCTTGTGTTCCATAGAAGAAAAAAAGGTAAGAAAATCCTGCATGCATAATTGCTTCAGAATTCAGAGAGATAACTGAACAAGCTCGTTGACTGAAGTTGCTAAGTCAACAACTTTAGAGAGCTCACTCTAGTTCTGCTGAAATGGTAGAGTAAATTATCTGAATTATTATTTTAGTCAGACATTGTCTTTGTTTTAACGGAGGTGTATACTTTCAATAGTAAAAAGAGAACCCACATAAACCACTTTGGGTTTGATGTACCTAAATGTAGTAAACCCTTTGTGGAGAACTCGAAGAGCATTAAAAAGCATATTTTTACGATTGGCGAGAAAGAGGAAGTAAAGATTGGCATGAGAAGGTTGCTAGATCTCCTTTTAGTTATTTCAGTGGTTATTAATTGGCATCTTTCATTTTCATGGAGATCATGTTTATATTCAATGGTTGCTTGCATGACAGATGTTGTTGTGCCAATTTTCAGGTACTGGGAGTCTTTCCATCTGTTCCTATTTATTTATGTTAAATATTCGCTTTCTCTTAAAATAAATTGTACTCGGAGATAGTTCAAAACACATGTGCTTTCGGAGCTTATAGTCCCTGCATATTAACTAGATAAGTGGAACGACACACTTTTATAATTTTCTTTCGTATGACACATCGCTAAGAACAAAAGCCAGTGAACAAATTAATTCATAGCTTTCGATATAAATCAGTATGTAGAAGATTCATAACAAAACTAGGTTTAAGCTAGCCCTTTAACTTTAGATAAATACTACTCCCTCTGTTCCAAAATAGATGACTCAACTTTGTACTAACTTCAGTACAAAGTTAGTATAAAGTTGGGTCATCTATTTTGGAACGGAGGGAGTAGCTAAGAAAACACCATTGTTCACACAATCTCCGAATTGCCTGTTCAACTTTTGTACTCAAGAACAAGAAAATGATGACAAAGAAAACCGTAACTTTGGATATTTGTTCCTGTTGGAATCATAGACTATTTTATCAATCCTTTCATGTTGTGTATATAATCTCTGTGTCATCTGGAATGTGTGTAACTTTGGACATTTGTTCTTGTTGGAATCACATCCTAAATGTTCCCGAATTCAGAGAGATAACTGAACAGATTCAGAGAACCTCACTCTAGTTATATGAAACCTATCTTTGTTCAGAGTCGGAAATGAACTGGAATCAACAGACTGTTCAACCCATCCTCTAGTTGTGTATAATCCTTTTATCATCTGAAATGTTTGTGTTTCGATGGGATGTTTGTTCTTGCCTGCATCCCATATTGTGTTCCATGGAGAGAAAAAGTAAGAAAATCATGTATGCATAATTGCTTCAGAATTCAGAGAGATAACTGAAGAAACTCATCGGCTGAAGTTGATAACTAAACAAATTCAGAGTACTTCTGGTCAAATGGTAGATTAAATTATTATGTCAGTCCCACTTTGCATTGTTGTAACCGAGGTGTAAAATGGCAGCAACGCATGGTACAACTTGCTTCTGAACTAAGCTTCCAAACAGCTTCACAGCAGTGCTCACTCAAGAGCAGAGAAATGACAGAATGAAACGTCACTGCATTGATCCTTCTGTTACCACACATTCCTAGCTACTCAGGCTACTGGCCGCATAGGTACAAGCTGCCATTCCATTCCGATGCCTCATGCTCGCTCAGGGTAGCAACTGGTGAGGAATCCTGCTTGGAGTCACCGGCGCCACCAAGCTAGAGATTCAGGCTTAACGCTGCACTTCCATTCAAGCTACCGAGTAATTAAGATTTTGCTTGTACACGATCAACTCTTCTAAATATTGCTCAATTAACTACAATTTGGCCCTGGTGACAGAATCTGGGTCACGCAGTTCGACCTGGTATCTTATACTCCCTCTGTTCACTTTTATAAGACCTTAAAGACATTTGAGACAATGTGCAAAACAACCCATTTTGAGCTGTCTGAAATGACTTACAAAAGTGAACGGAGGGAGTAGAAGTAAAGATACTGGATACAGAGGTTATGGTGCTCATATAGGTGCATTATTTGGGTGAAGTGAAGGCTTTAGTTTGTCTCGGAGATAACAGAGCAGTCAGATCTTGATTTATATGAGAAACAACACAACGCGGATATGGTTAGGAACAACTTTGATGTTAGGGAGTTTAATGAACTGAATCTTTGGACCTGCTATTATTCCAACTGCTGTTGCCTTAGTGCTCACATAAGTTTTATTCTGTTGAGAAACTAGTGCTCAGATAAGTAGCGCACTGCAATCGGACATATGCCAACTTCATGCCCTTTGTTGGACTATGGTCAGTTGGTCATGCTTGTTATTGTTACACCATATGAGCCATTAGTCACACCATTCTGAAACACCACGCTTACCATGTGATTATTCAACCGAAGTTTTGGCCATCACTCACTTTGCCTTGTTATATACTCCCTCCCCATTATATTAGGCGT